CAGATTCACATACCATAAACCCTGGCTGAACTTTAGTGACATGCAGTGTGTGCTGCAGGTGTGACCCCAGGACCATGCAGACTTGCTTTTAGAAACTCTGTAATCATTAATGTGGTTGGATAGCCAGTGGAGCGTGTCTCTTAATGGGACTTCCTGGTGGTTTAAAAATAGATTAGGGTTGGAACGCTGAACGTACAAAATATTCACCTTATATTCAACTTAATCCTAAACCACAATCCACATCTGTGCTACGTTAATGCTTAAAAATGTCTATTCAACTTGCCTACTCCTCTTTATGTAGCTACATTTCCTCCGATTGTTTAAATGCCAAGTAATGAGCAACAACATAAAGATGTTGTGATGGTTGATTAGGGTTAGATTGTTTTACTCAGAAAGAGCAAGCTGAATAAAAATGTTATTACGACGGCAACAAACAGTTATTTTAATTGTCGATTAAGGTGTCAAGTTATTTTCTTTTGTTCCAAAATGTCAGAAAATAGTGAAAAATACCCAATAAAATATTCCACAGCCCATGGTTATGTCTTCAAATTGCTTTTTTCCCCCACCCAACAGTTCAAAACCTAAAGATATTCAATTTCCGATCATAGATGGCTAAAAGAAAAAACTTAGAATCAAGATTTGAGAAGCTAAGCCTGATTAAAATCGATTAATTAAATTTGTGGCCAAATTTCAGCTTTCTAAGTAAATTTCACATCTTTGTCTTTCAGAATGAAGTAGCAAGAGCTTTTTACTATATTCAGAAGTCTCCAGCAATGTTCAACTATTTTACAAGAAAACATCCTTTGCAGAAGAAGAAGAGATACATCAATGTCTGAACTAACAAAAGCCTCAAAAGACCACAATGCATTGCATTATCAAGGTCAGTGAGTAAGCGGCTGCCCTCATAAACAGGCCTCAATCTTCACAAGCTAGTTGGCTGTGCCTATACAAATGTCTATATAACTATCTTACACTACAGAAGTAAGTTAAGGCTCCTCTGGTGTGTGTCAAATACTCTGGGAATTGTATAAAATTACTAAATAAAAAAATGCACAGAACATAAATAAATAATAGTAATGATTTTTACTGTAAACTATTTTTTTTTTAAATTTGCAGTCACAACATAACTCAATAGAAAACCTTAATACTAAACTGCGCACTAACACAGTCACTTGATTCATTGTTTAAATAAATAACAGATAAGAGCAACTTTAAAGATCACTTTATCTCCCAAATCATGGCCCAACTGCTTCAACATCACACAGAGCATTCCCATCCCCTGATTCCAGTCATTCTATCTCAAAAATAAATACACATCAGTTTTGGAAACTGAGAAGCTAAACATTTGTGCTCCACATCAGCATCCAAAGAAAGATAATTGTTTTATTTGGCTCTGGTGAGCCACATTCCAGACGGTGGAATAAAGCCGATACACCAGATCTGAGTCATGTAGAGCGAGGTCTAAGAAACGCAGCATGTCTCGCTACAACACGTGATGGTTTTAGCAGAAGCTGCTGGTTAGCTGTACTTCAACCTCTTCTCTTCATCAGTTACACACTGCTTCTGTTCCTGCACTCATCTCCTATTCTCTCCTTTCCCTCCCCACAGTTGTCAATTCAGTAACTGAGGCGTCTTTCAGAACAGAGCAGCTGACTAAACTAGAGAGCTTCAGCAGCAATGTATGACCAATTTCCATTTCCATGAATATTTATGACATTGTGTGCGCATGTGCGCTGCCAACATTGGTCCTGTAGGAGCACTGCTGGAGGTCCAAAGCTTACGGTAAAACTGAATGTTAAAGTGATCTAATGGGACATTTAAGCCCTCAGTGCTATCTTAGGGCCTTGTTTGCTTCCAAACTGTTCCAATCTCTCTCCATAAATCTCCAACCAACAAAATCCCTGCATATCTCAGTTTCTAACCATTCTTCCATATTCTGACCGTAACAATGACCACACCCCAGACCCTGTTTAACAACAATTTAACTGTGAAACCACAAGGCTGAGTAAACTCAGATGGTTGCCAAATTAAATGAAAAACCAACATAGTCAAATGTCTTAGTAAGTCCATTAGGCTAACAACTTAAATATCCCTTGGCATAGATTTTTCAAGTCTCTAACTATACTGAAGGGATGAAACAACAGTCTCACAAAGATATTTCCTCATTTAGTGTTTTGAATGTGGTGGTTGCTCCAAAATCTACCATAGGTACACCTAATGTGCCCTTCTTCTGTTACTGTATCAGTTTGGGAAATATGTTTATTTGCTTTCTTGCCAAGAGTTAGATAAGAAGATTGATTCCACTCATGTTTGTGCCTTAAATATGAAGCTACAAGCAGGAGACTACAAGCTTAGCTTAGACAGTTAGCCTGGGTTAGTCTACAAGTAACAAAATTTGCTTACCAGCATCTCAAAAACTCAACGATGAACATGTTCTATCTTGTTTGCTTTATCTGTACAAAAAAAACAGTGTAACAAAATGACAAGTTGTGGTTGCTGCTGGTTGCCTGGCAAATTCAGTGAAGACAAGGCAAGACAGGAAGTCACTAACCCCGGCCAAGAAATAGTCCAGTGCATAACCACATTTTAATTGGTAAGCTTTAGAGGTGCTTATATTTACAAATATTTTTGTTACCTTTGGACAAAGCGCTGTTAGCTGTTTCCAGTCTTTATGCTGAGCTAAGATAACCTTACCATCACCTGTCTGTAGCTCCATATTTATTGGACAGTAGTTCTTCCACATAATACAGAAGCTTTCTTTCCTGTCCATTTCACAACCACTGATTGTCAGCACGCCCATGCACATCACAACAGGCTACAGGCCATAGATAACACACTGCCGAGTTTCTCGATCAAAACCTATTTCGACTTCATGTTGTCAGAGGATTAAAACTGCAGAACTCCACTGAAGCCTCTACTAAAAATATGTAGTTTACCGTTGGGGATCAGTGAAAAGAAAGACATACAGTCTGTATCCCATTTTCATTCTAACCTATTAAAGTCACAACAGGCGAAACACAACAGGGAGTTACCATGACATGCAGTCAGACAAATTGCATAAAGTTTTATGAGCCTGTGATGTATTTTATGGGACTGAGCTCATGGTAATTTCTTTAACATGCAGGCATCAGCTTCAAATCGAGCCAAAAAAGCCCTACGGATTTCGTGTGTGTGTGTGTGTGTGTGTGTGTGTGTGTGTGTGTGTGTGTGTGAGTGAGGCAGCGAAAGGTCACACATCTGGGCCTAGGGGTACTTACTGTATGTGTGTTTGTGCAATAGTGTGTAGAAATACTGCATGTACTTCCACATTACTGTTAAAAGCACCATTTACTTGCATATATCCAAAATATTTATGTTAAGATGACATTTTACACTCAGTTGCAACATTTATGAACGCATTATTTCACAACGTCCAGCAAGCTGTTTCCTTCTGTAATCACACTGGAAAATGTCTCCTTCCCCTTTCAGTCTTGTTTTGGGGTCATTCACCAGACAAATGACCTTTTCCTCTATCAATTTATGAATAATTAATAGTTTTATTCCTATATCTTAAAGGTTTGCAGTCACACAATCGGTCATGTGTGAACTGTTACACCCTAAACCTGTGTGTGTGTTTAGGATAAAGACTTCACATATGTCACATATGGATCCTGAATTTACTTCACAGCCTCTTGTTGAATAAGGAGCCAACACTGAAGCCATATGCACCACTTACATGGACACACACACAGGACAATGAAAATTGAGGTACAGGAATTTTAATTGACCTCTGTGATGCATTTTTTAGCCTCAGTGGTTCCATCACTGAGTGAAAAAAAGAGACTTCCTAACTGGAAACAGATTTCAGGAGCAGATTAGGCTTCCACAAGTCAGCATGTAACTGTAGCTTACACACACACACACACACACACACACACACACACACACACACACACAAACTTACAAAGACAGAGATGGCCAACGCCCCAGACAACGTTAAGGCTTGTTTCCTCTCCGGATATCAAATTGCTGCTTTGGAAGTGAAACGTGTATGAAATCATAAGATGTGTGAAAGAGGAAGAGTCGCTACTGTACATTTGTTAGTGTGGCATAATACTGCAGGTATAGGGGATCAGCCATAACCTGGCTATTCATTAAAAGCGACAACCTTAAGAGTGGCCACATATTAACACTGGACTAATAAAAGATGAAGTGCGGCTCGCAGTTGTGCCGACAATTTCATCAGGCGTCATATAAAATGCATGCTCAAGTGCAAACAAGACATCCCTGCAGGTCGGGTAGTCTAAAACTAAAAGTAGGTTTCAGAAAAAAAGAGATTTGGTTAGACTGTGTGCGGTAATAAACAGCGGTGCTCATCAACCAGCTTACCGGATTCAAGGTGATGACTGCGGCGCGGATGAGCGGTGCTCTCTGAACTGTGTGGAGGCAGCGGAACTCCGCTTTAACGAGACCCTCACACGTTATAAGTACTGCCATCTGCAGCTGCGTCAAGCTCCACGCAAACTGCCAGTCTGAGACCGGAAATAGGAAGGGTTGCCGTCACAATAAGAGTAGCGGAACGTTCGAAAAGAAGCGGGGTGACATTACCTTCAAAATAAAAGTAAATATTTGAACACTGACATTTGAAATAAGTGATAGGGCACACCATGTTTTTCAAGAAAATGTGGAAACAAGCTAAAAAAAAAAAAAGACAGTAGCCTCACTTAACTACCTTGTATTAATGTTACTGTAGCCAACATCATTTTATGGTTTGTAAACAAGCAGAAAATGGAATGTGAATGTCTATTTAGACAAAAAACAAGATTAACTTGATATCCACTTTTTGTGGAGCTTTCAGTTGTATCTCACAGTCTTTCATCAGTGGATGCGGTTTGCTTAATTGACTGAAGAGGTGGAAAATTAAATAAAAAATGAGATTCCCTAAATAGCCTAATGCTGTAGAACAAAACAATGCAGGAAGGTAATTATGGGACTGCAACATTTTAATGAAAAAAGACGTGTCCATTTCAAGAATTGTTTTTTATTTTCTTCTAGTACATTTGCAAGATGTCTGACTGAAGAGACACTGTTAATAACTTCAGGAATACACAGAGATTTTTTTTTTCAATCTGAGATTATTTCCCAATCAACAAAAAATCACATTTTAAAAACATTCACCTATATAGACCTATTGCAATTGTACCTTTCACAAATACAACTGTCATTAAACTGTTTCTACAAACAGTAAAAAAACTAAATCAAACATGTTCTGATTTGTAGTTTTAAGTGTGGTTACATCTGTTGTAATTGTACAACAAAGTGTGTTTATAATGGTTTACAATTACATTTAAACAATAAATGAAAACCAAAGGGTACGTTACTGAAAGAACAAAATGCTACTTCACTCATTCCCACATCTCCAGATGATTATGTAGAAACTCAAAGAATTCTGCTTGAATGTAAAAAGAAAAAGAAATGCATGGGAATTTAAATAAATATCCAACCTGATCTGCAGAAAACAGGACAGACACGGATCTCAGTTAACTAAGGAGATGCCTTAGTGCAAAATATCTCTCACTGAGGTGGGAACAGAACCAACAAGCTGGTTTCCCCAACAAGGAGAAAAAAAGTCAGTGGTATCCTACTGTAACAGTGTCTTTCTCTTGACCTAACTGGCAAATAAAAAGCCAAAAACATGTTGCCAGGTTTTTGTTGCATTCATGTATACATTTTCCATAGGTACATTGTTCAGAAAAAGATTATATCTGATAAAATATATATGATACTTGTTATTTCCCCTTAATGAAAGGACTGTGTTTTTATTTGCGTTCTTTTAGGCTCTCCACCTTTTGAATACATCAAATACAAATACATTACAGATTATCACCTAATGGCCTACATAAGCTGGCAAAACAGTATTCAACAGCATCAAAAGGTTTAGTGTCATATAAAAACCAAGAATCATCTTACTGCACATCAGCAAATCAAAATATGTACAAATCTACATTAAGTAATTGAATTTCTGAATAGGCACTTTAATTCAAAACAGTTCAGCCAGCCCTCAGTCATCTTTGATTCAACATCACAAAGACACGGCAGTTACTTGTTTTTTTTTGTTGTTGTGTTTTGGGGTTTTTTAGACAGAAAATTAAACCAGATGATGACAGAAAACCCAGAAACAGACAGTAGCCCTAATAACCACGTCAGTAGATTTGGACAGTTTCATTCTGACATCAGCTACACACAATCACACACACAATTGTAAAATACACACAATGGAAGCTCTAGTTTCCAAGTATAAAGTAGAAGGATCTGCTACAGAACAGGAAGGAGATATTTTAATATGCACACATTAGACAGGAAAAGGTGCATAACAGCCTTTCACCACCAAGCAGTCCCATTTTTAAAGATAAATCACTTATTTCCCACTACAAAACAATAAATAAATAATAAATAAACAAAATAAATTTTATAAATAAAGTATTTTTGATCTTTTTTTTTTTTAAATAAATAAATGAAAAAGTCTGATCAAGAAGAGAAAGAGGCAGGCAGTGCTAAAATTTAAGATAGTGGAGAAGCGGCTTGACTCTGTTGTGGAAGCAGTTTGAGAGGGAGGCAAACAAACCGCACACTTACAAGTCTGTGGAGTAAAATTAGTAATGTAACTGTAGTGTGAGGGGTCTTTAACACCCCTTACTAAGTGGTACCAGAGCAAAACATGCCGCCCTAAATGTTAGTTATTGTAGGTCATCTTACCTTAATAGTAGACAAATACAAGTCCTGTTGTCAGGAGCAACTTCACAACAGAGAAAAAAATGAACTGCATATTTAACGCTGAGGGATCGCCCCATAGCTGGAGGGAGTTTCACTTTTAGAGAGCAGCACTGGCATATCACCACAGTAGAACAAACTCACTAATACCATAGCCTCATTGTTAAGCTTCCTGGAATGGTGGCTTACATGTAGTACAATCATATTCAACATTATAGTAATCCATCTTAATGGGTAGTTAAATCAATGCACACCTCAAGTCACAAAGATGAGACTTTTTTAAAACCATTAGCAAGGTGGTGCTTTTATAGGACTCAATCTGTTAAGGCCGTTTGTCACAAATCCAAACAAATCAACTAACAGATGCTATTTTCTTGTGAAATCAAGTTAGATGATTTGTGTTGAAAACTACAAACGGTATCCTGACAGTGCAAGCCTTCTCACAGTCTGTGCCTGCGAGGGTCGGAGCGTGGTGGGGAAGGAGGCGGGGGCAGGGTGACTGTGATTGGGGGCTCGACTGGGTCATCCATGGGCAGGACCAGGCGTGTGCCCCTGATCGCTACTTCGTGTTCTGCCAATGCGAGTTCGTGATCCATACCTTCATCAGGTGGGCCGCCCCCGGTGCTGGACGCACGCTTGTGGTTGATGGTGTGGGATCCGGAGGCGTCCGTGCTGACAGTGACGTCGGCATACATGGAGCTCACGCTGGCATCGTTCAGGATGAAGTCAGAGTCGTCGTCGCGGAGCTGACCTTCGTTCTGGTGTGTGGAGAGGGAAAAAAAGAAAATGGAGATGAGTAAAACAAAACTGCTACTTTAAATAAAAAATCCAAATGGACACACAAGGGGAGCGCCACCACCTACATTCAACACAAGTTTAAAACCTGCTAGGACTCTAATAAGTTCAAGACATGAAGCTGATTTTTCTTCATCTGAAATGTGGTTAAGCAGGTATCTATTTCAAATAACAATAAGTAAAGAAACACAAAAATATCAAACTCATAACTGACACTGTTATATCTGTAAATATACAATTCAGATGGTCAAGAAGTTACGGATTGGGCATTTAAAAAGTGCTACTTTAACAGTATCATATCAGCCTGCGTCTCCAAACCTCATAGGCCTGTGGGCTGGTGAGGCATCGTGCCAGCGGCCCACAACAAGCAGGCAGAGTAGCAGTGAGGGGAGGGCCGCTGTGGGTCAAGAGGGGCTTCAGGTAGCTAGAGAACAGGCTTTGTCAAGGACTTTAACAGTTTTAAATAAACAATTTAATTATCTTTAATAATCTAATGCAATTGTGCTAACTCTGATACAGCAAGGCTGCATGAAATGATATATTTAATGCTAGAAAGTACTTTGAAAACTGTGAACCTGTGCAGAAAGAGTAAGTTACTGTTGTATATTTTCTGACAGTTTGCAAAGAGCACCCTCTGGTGTCCAAAGCTGAATCTAGCATCCACACTTCTGAAGACAGGATTTTAAATATGTGATCCATGGCTCAAAGGATACTTGTGGTCAAAGTTATACCAGATCCTGAAGGGCCAGGCGCTCTCATGTTTGGTGTTCCTCCGCTGTGACCCGTCCAACACTGCTGAACTCTGTTAAGCAGAACATTTTTAATTAGTTACTGTTTTATTTTATTTTTATTTAAGAATAGCAACTTCACAACGTAACCTGAAAGAATTTAAATTTTAATCTGTACTAATTACTTACAGAGTTGTCTTGATCAGAGTCCACACCCACCCTGACAGGGAAAAGGTAGCAGAAAAATGTTCAATAGAGGAGGGAACAAAAAAGCACACAAACGGAGAGATAAATGCATAAAAGCAGATGCCCCGTCTTACGGTATGCTCATGAAGGACAGCATAGGTGTGGTGCCCCCTCCACAGATCCACACAGTGAAGAAGACAATTAGGAGGGTGGTGGAAAACATCATCTGGCGCGCGTATGTCGCTGTGTCTCGGATAGAAAGAGCAAAGGTCATCGCCCCACGCAGACCTGGAGGAGACAACAAGACAGTGTGAGAATAAGTATGTGGTTGTGTTTCACACCGTGACAGACCTAAAGTGAGGTAATGTGCGCATTTTCATTTGTTGTTATACTGAAGAAAAGCCATATATGTCATGTTGATGTACTGGGGTGATGTTTTTCCCCCAACTACTGCACATATGTTGCCAAGCTCATCCTGCACAATGTGCTGTACGTATTTATTCCTCTCAAGGCTGTTGTTATAGGCATCGATCACCATAACATAAACACAACACAAACAGTTAAAATGTTCTGCATAATAAAAGGAAGTGATCCTGCGGGCTCAGACACAAAGATACATTATGTACAGACATGTAGGGGATTTCTATTGTTAGCCAGTTTCAAATGTAAATATCAGCTGACGTATGGGGCTGATATTTATAACAATACTGTGTCTGAGTGGGAGTGTTGCTGGTCTAGAAGGAGACTGTCTTAGCACACTATTATCTAGGCAAATATTGTTTTTAAGTACAGGCTTAGATCTGCTCCTTTCCACTGATTTTAATTGAACCAGGTCCCAGCTGAGAGGTACTGTAGTATTTTTGGTTCCTCATCTTTACTACGTAACAAAGTTTGAGAGCCAAGAGCTGACAAAAGAGACTTTATGGTCTCGGTACCTGCAAACATCATGACATGCTGACAGTTAAATCCGATCTTGTTCTTGCGGCCCAGGTTGAGCAGAAAGGACAAAGGGTAGATGTTCGCTGCCCTCCCCAGAAACACGGCCACCTATGCAACGCAGGAAGGTCAAGGTCACAACACACCGCAAAGCAATCCAGCACGGGCAAGCTGAGATGGAAAATAATCATGGGTAGATGGCAATTTGGAAATTCCAGCTCATGTTTGACAAATCTGTCTTTCAAATGTGTTGGTTAGTTCTGTTATTCTTGGGCTCTCTGAGGCAGTGACTAAAATATCTTTTAAAATACATGTACTGTATGAAAACACTGTATTATCAGCATTGGTGTATCATAATGTATTTAAATACATTGGAGTTGCTATACATAACTGACAGGTGTAGTCTCATGGAGGGTGATCATGTTATAGTATTATGGACTGTAATAGGCTATGATAGATAAACAAGTAAGAAACAACAACCTGTGATACTTAAAGGGATAGTTTGGGTATTTTAAAGTGAGGTTGTTTAAGGTACTTATCCACAGTCAGTATATTATCTACTGTAGATCTACTTGGAGAAGCTTCATGGCTTTACCTCTCCATCAGATAAGCTTTTTAAGCAAGTACTGTAGCAAGATCAGAATGAAATCAAACTTCACGTTTCTGAAGACTTCAAAGATGGTTTTTTCAGGGCTGCGCCACAGTTACTAACGCAAACGGCTGGTCTGTTGTCGTTGGGCTTATGCGTGAGAATACGGACGTTCTATAGTTAGAGCTGTCTGAAGGCGAGGCAAAATATTCTTAACATATATATATATAAACTGATATGGATTTTGTTATGTAGCTAAAATATGTTTTTTGCACCAGTCCACAGTAGTGCATTGCTTAGCTTGCCTGCCAGGACTCATGTCTGCTTCTCCAAACTGGGGATGACCTCACCGCCATTTACTGCAGGTAATACATTGATTATTAGGGGTGTGATGAGATGCTTAGCTCACGAGACAAAACGAGACATGATACTGGGTTCATGAGTACGAGACAAAATGCAATTTTAACACTATTTTTAAGAATTCTTCAATGCCAAATTATATGAAAAAATGAGCATTATACACTTAATTTCTGCCTTTTCTGCATCAATTTATGTTGGAAATGTCTTTATGTAAAGGGAAACACAAAATTCAGTTGGTAGGTGACAATTCAAAATATAAAAATATTACAGAATATAATGCAGTAATGCTCTCAGGCATTCTGTATTGCTTTCAGATGTGTTTACTTCTGTAGATCAACTTTTTCATGTAATTACATCCATGTTGAGTCAGCACACATGCATGTGTGATTCTTCCTTCTTCTTTTGTGTATTTTGTTTGGGGAAGTAACCTCTTTAAACATGATTGTGGCACTTTCTGTCATCAGTTATACATTTGTTTTTCACTGTGTGACAAAATTGATGTGTGGCATGATGGCATGTAAAGGGTCTCAATTGCATGAGTCTTGCAAGACAGGTGAGAGAAATATCTCGTGGCACAAGATCTCTTAACACCCCTAATGAAAATGGCTAAGTTCCTCATACAACCTCACTTCAAAATACACAAACTATCCTTTTAACCACAACAATTATCACATTATTAAAACATTTATGGGAGCCAAAAAGGAAGTAGTTTTATGCAACAACATTCTTGGTCAGATACTCAGTGATTTCTTGAGCATCCAGGAAGGCTTTGATTCATTTAGTAAAGGATACAAAGGCTCCAATGATGAACAAAGGGTTGAAGACATGTGACTGGAAGGAGAAGAGAGTCAGCCCCATGTAGGAGAAGATGAAGTTCTCTGCCAGGAAATTTAGCAGCTCAAACAGCTGATGTGAAAGAGAAAGAAAAAATAATGTACATTTTGGATGTAAGGTATCACAGGAAAGTTTATATTTATACATAATTTAGACATTTAAAACTTCAAAAAGTTCTTTGGTGTTGCACACCATAAAATCTTTATAATAGGACTAAAAACAAGAAAGACCCAGAATTCAGTTAAGATTAATATCTAAATAAAGTGGATATAAGTGACCAACAGTGTGCAAGATTTCTAGTTACTTCTAAGTTACAGTAAACAATAAAGTATCAATATACTCTATTGCTCAGCCATGTTTAATGTCTAGTTTTTTAAGTGTATAGATTTCAAATAATTGTCAGCTAGATAGTGACATGAATAATGGTATTTAATTGGCCATGTTGAAACATTTCTCACAATGGGAGAAATGAGAAGGTACACATATGTTTAAACTGTCAAGTGCTATTCTCACCTATTGGCAGACCCCAAATTGTGATGCGTTTCTTTTTTTGCATTCTTTAATAATAAAGTTAGTGCCACAAAAGACAAGAACAATTAATCCACCACCACACTTTGTCAGCACCTGCAGTATTCTTAAAATGCTTAAACAGCTGATGTCCTGAATATAACTGAGGACATAGTGTGCATCCAGCTAAGTGGCTACCTCAACACAAATGATGTTTATGAAGAAACATTCAGTCTGGTTTTCAGGCACTCAAACTGACTTTCTCACAGTTTTTATCTTGGAGTTAGAGATGTAAAACTATCTTGGTTCTTCATCAGGCTGCTGCTGAGATGACAAGTTTACACTAGTTTAGATCCTATCTAACCCATTGGAAACACAGTGCTGTGCTACATACTCATGCCACAAACATCCTGCCGTGTTGTGTGGTGATAAGGTGTTAGGTGTCACAGTTGTTATTTAGCCTCTATGTGCTTCCAATAACTGGTATTATTGAAAACTAGGATTGGGTATCCTTTCAATTTTTATTATTTCAGATTATGATTCTACTTATCAAATCCAGTTCTTATCAAATCCCGGCTCTGATTCCAACCGTATCCAGACAACACAGAGCTATATTCAAGTCTATCAGCTCCCTACTTCAGTGCATAGATGGCATCAGCTTTCTAAGAACTTTCTGCAATAATAATAGTAATCTGAAATGATTATTTTGAAATTCTAAACAAATAAAATCTATTTATTATCATCAATATTATTAGCAGTAGTAGCAGTATTGGTCTTGGCAGCATGTGTACATTTTAGAGAGCAATGATTTAAGCTGAAGAAAGGATCAAGTACACAAAGATATGTGATTGCGTATCACCTGTTTGGTCCTGTCCTGAGAGTCAGGGGAGAGATTGTTAAAAGTGTAGTGAGCCTGAGTGATCCCACAGAACAGCACAGCCACAACGCCTGAATAAAAACACAGATACACACATTCAATATTACTCAAAGTACAATGAATTATATTTTACTGGAGGAGGACAAAAGTATTTAAAAATCTGTGTTAAAGGGAAAGTCTGGTGATGTTCATGGTAAAATGTAATTTAAAAGCCAAAAGACACTGATGAATTGACATGTTTCTTCATTACCACAAAAAGTAGTAGTTGTAGTTTATTTGAAGTCAATCCCACGTACTGTTCACTGTCCTGCTGCTGTTAATACTCACTAGAGGACAGAATGTGTCTTTATCTGCTGCTTTAGAGAGTCCTCAACAAAGCCAATAATTGCTCATGTTTGAGTAAAGTTAGCTAAAACCAGCAGTTAAAAAAAAAAAAAAAGAAATTTTGTTTTACATCTTCAGTAAGAACCAATAGGTAGGGAGGTCAGGAAGTAGTGAGCCAGACTAACACGTTGTTGGTTCTGGTGTTTTCATGGGTTTTGTTGACAATAACAAAAATACAGAATACTGTCTGCCTTATCTTTTGATTATTATTAATTTAAGCATCTAATTATTAAATATTATTAATTAACAACTTGTTTTTAAGTAGCAAAAGGTTATGAATTAACCTTGACATCCTCTGCATTACACTGATAAACCAACAAGTAGTTTGAGGGTGTGTTTCAGTTGGTTTCATTTGCCCTCGTGTTAATGATTCATCGTCCTTGCTGTACTAAATATGGAGTCATTAAGTGACAGTTGAAACTTCCTACGAATAAAACCTAAGCTAAAAAATATATATATATGAGTGCTTGATGAAAGTTCATTGTAAATATTTCCAAGTAAGAAAAAATACAACTAAGTAAAATTAGACCCAATGTTAAAAAATAATCAAAAGACTGAAATGTCATTAATTACAAGTAATTCACCAACACTAAGTCAAAATGAGATGGCCAAACTCTGTGTAAGTGACATGCATGAGTGCTGTGTGCAGGTGGACCTGTGAACCCGCAGGCCTCAGCCAATAGAAAGGTGCTCCATGACATGAGGAAAAAGAGAGCTGTCTCCAGCAATGGGAAGTCCCTCAGCTTAGTGAACTTGGTCACGTGATGAAAACTGAAAGTCAAGGAGCATAACAAGAAGTGGCACATCCACAGTCAACCTGCAGAAGTGTAAAAATACAAATTACATGCCTTAGTGAAATGAAGCAATCTGAGAATATACATGCACACGATGGATAATCAACCGCTGAAAGGATATGAGAGCGGTCATGACGCCAGTGGCCACCCCAAGAGCAAAAGATCCACTGAAGACGCCCAGGAAGATGCCGAAGGAATTCAACAAGGCCATGGCCTCAAAGCTGTGGCTGTTGTCTCCCGCAGGCTGGTACGCCACAATGGAGCTGAAGCGCAGATAGACAGAGAGTATACACAAATAAAACATTTACGTGGAAAAAAACTAAACGCACACTTACTAAGAATCCAGAAAGGGGAATTGGTCAAATGTTAAACAACATGCTCACAAACAGAGATTTTCAAGATAAAGTCAGGCATCAAATCAAACCTGCAGCAACCCAAATCCAATAGTGGCTGATGTTACATGTACTGCATGAATTTAGAGAATTTAAGTTAGCCTTTTAGTTAGGAACAAAGACTTCACACACACTGGAATTGGGTTTTACAGTCATAAAAATGGAGGTGGTCAGGGTCTTGCATGCTTAATTGTAACTGGGTCTTGGATCTCTCAACACCATTTGGTTGATATCCAAAAAGAGTATAGAAACAGCCAACTGTGCTACTCCTTTATGAGGAGAAGCTTCCAAAGTACCACAAAAACAAAAAAGCAAATCACCAGCAGTAATAAACCTTTCACACACATAGATTATCAAAACTTTAATGAAAAAGCAGTCTTTTCTGGTAATTTGCAGGGACTACAGAGCATAAAGAAAATGAAAATGATACAAGGACTAGATATGAAAGGGTTGCAGTAGCCACAGGGTGTAGGGGAGGACAGTGATCATTCTAATGGGCTACATTCTATTCAAGGTAATGATCTGCAACATAGTTGAGATGATCAGGTTCTAACACTATAACCATCTACCACGTAAAACATCCCACCGGGGAGTCAATGTCTGGTTTTCACCCAGCCATTCCTCTGGCCCCTCGGGCAGGACTGTGCCATTGTCTCCTGGGTAGAGCACAGCTCCGGCCCCCTGCCTACCCTGCTTCTCCAAGCGGAGAAGAACACTGCATACATACGTACAAGTAGGCGATGAATGACACGGATGGGTGAAGGAAGGCAAGCAGTGAAATGACAGGGACTGATGTTAGTATGATTAGTGTCCATTTGTGTGAAATGTACAAAACAAAAAAGATGAATTTCCCACATTACAGTGCAGGACATTACTAGACATTGAAGGGTAGGTTAAAAAGTCCATCTTAAAACAATACATGTATGGGCATGTATGTATGTTCATTTCAGGAGTTATTGGCCACATGAAAATATCCCTTCCTAATGCAAAAGTTCATATGAAGGTGACATGAGGCTTCATCTGTCAGTCAGACAAAAACCAGCAGGTATCTTCCAAAGCTAGAGTCGACCCTCTTTGTTTTACTATCCCTCACCGGAAAACAAATGGCTGAATTTCACACCAAAAAGGAAATTTCTCTGCAAAAAACCCTACTTGATTTATCTAACTCAGACCAGTGAAGCCTCACATGAGCTTTAACTGAGGATGCATTTTTTGCACAAAAAGAGGACTGTGGATTTTGTCCTCTGTCTCTTCTATAAGATGGGAAGTGATCTACTCACAGCCAGCATGGACCAGGGGAAAGAAACACTCTTACTCTTGAAATGTACATACTTGCTGTGTGTGTATATTTCTGCACTGTGTTTATTAATGCTTACGAAGAGAGGACGATGGCCACAGCATCATTGAGGACACTCTCCCCAAAGAGTAAAGCATATAAGTCCACATCTACCTTTAGCTCATTGAAGATAGCCAGCACTGTCACTGAGACACAGAGGAGAAAAGAAAACATCAAAGTAATAACAGGAACAAGAAAGTGTCACACTGCTTCCATAATAAACATAATTAGTACAGACAAGTAAAAAAAATATGTCTTTGGAAACCATTATCTTATGGCACTACCTACCTGGATCTGTTGCCGAAACGATGGCTCCGAAGAAAAGACAGTCAGTAAAGAAAAAATCTCCCCCAAGCTGGCCCACAACTTTCATGAAGGACACAACGCCATACATGATCAGCCTAGAAGGAAAGAAGGATGTACACAAGTCTTAAAAGACACTGGCACTGCTTTCCTGTTCAACAAACTGATCATATGAAATGTATTTGAGTCTGAATGTAAAGTGTAAAAACAAAAAAATCAGCACCTCCTGAGGTCATTTCAGAGATGACCAAATGACTTACCCAATGACAAAGCAGGATATAACTGTTCCCATGAAAGCATAGGCCAGGATGGAGCCGATGTTTCTGAAGAAATGTCTCTGAGACAGACAAAGACACATATTTATTAGAAGAGAGGCTGTCTAGTACGAGCAGTAAGACTGGGGCAATACAGACAAATATCACAATGATAAAAAATATCTCTATTTGAAAAATAACATAATAATTTCCTTGCATTGTGGTGCATGGCAATATACTATAGAGGCCTATTAATAAATAATATTACCTGATTAGTTCATTTGGGAAAAATCTGAATTGTTGATTTACATAATTAGCGTATCATATGTACTTTAATCCTCTTACCCTTTTCAGACTGTAACCTGCGTGGAAGATGATGGGAGGCAGCAGAATGTTGAAAAACACTTCTGGGTCAAAGGTCACCTTAAGACAGTGGTAAGGTAGAATAGTTTAAAAAATTTATTTTCAAGTAGTGAATTCCTGCGCCTGTTAAATTAACATGATTTACATTTTATAGACAAAGATTATGTTTATGTCAGAGTTTGCAGAGGCTGTTTAGTACACTATGTACCTATACTGACAAGCCTTTATCAATTTATACAAAAGACATATTTACTGCTTTTTGGCGCACACCAGCGGAAAATTTCATAAACTGTGTCGAGAGCGGCACGTCAAAAACAACCACTTGCACCCTCCACTCAATCCTCCATCTGTTCATCCCCTTACCTTTCTCAGCATCTCATCGTCCTGCACTTGGTGCCCTTTGCCCCGGCTGACTTCCCCCTTCAGAGTGTACTCGTAGAATCGCCCGCTGACGTTGACCAGCAGAGTAGCAGGACTGGCGTTGACAGCGCAGCTGAGGATCACGTCACTCATGCTCTGAGGCACATGGACGCCAAACCGCAGGATCACACCCACCAGCAGGCCTTCAAGAAAGGGGGGTAGGAAGAGAGAGGGAGTGAAGGCAAAGCAGTTAGCCAAGGACTTGTAGTATATAATAATAGTCTCCTTTATTTGTACTATCCTTTATTTGTATATAGTAAACAAGTTTACAAAATACTTCATAGACAAAAGAACACATCATCATAAAAACAAAATAAAAGCTAGTTTATAAAAATTAGTCTATTAAAGGAGACACTGAGGTTGCTTGTCTGGTTCCAAAATCGGGTGAGGTTATATTTAAAACACCTGTTTTGAATTATTTGGGTGTGCTAAATACTTTAATAAGATTGGAGTCTTACAAAAAAAATTTAATTGGAGCAAGTTAATTATTCTGAAAGGGGTGGGATTTATTGCAAATGAACTGATTCATCAAAGCAGCTTCTCACTGCACAACAGATAATGCAGATGATAATGGTGCAGGTGAATGGTTTGCTTTTTTTAACTTAACTTGTTAACTTATTATGTTATTATATATTTTATTACCTTATAATCTATTGTATATTTTAACAGCTGACAGAAGACAGCAATTTAGAAAAAGACCACAAAAAGGCAATTCCACAATCCTAATACACTTACTTTAATATTGACAGTAACGCTACATAAAATACTGGATAAATATTATTCCTTACTCCCAGCAACAGTATGCTAATATCTCCCATGAAGCATCCTCATGAACTTTGAAACCTGAGAATAAGCTGTCAAAGTAGTTTTCTGGTTAAGATTGAGGAGCTATCGACATCATAGCCAGCTAGCATTGACTGACTGACATTAACGTTAGCTAACGTTAGTGGTCTTACCATAAATCATGGCAAGTCCTGTTTCGTGCAGGAACCTAAATCGCCGGTGTTTGAACAGCCATATGGTTAAAATTGTGAGTGTTAGGAGCATTATGAATATCAGTAGATTGGCACTGTCCTGACGGTGGCTTTCCTCAGCCATCCTCTCAGTTGCGACATTGTCCATCGCATTGCTCTCGCCTTGGCTCCCGACGAGCAATAAAGTCAACAGAAAAGGCAACAACAGGAGCGCTTTCGACGGTTTAACACCAAGGAAGCGTCTCATTGTAAATCCCATTGTGGCTTTCTGTGAAACGGTTACATTAGTCGTTTAATTCCTATCGGTTTTGACGAGAGAACTATTGCTTGGACGAGAAATCGGCGAGACGAGAGCAAATGACAGCTACTTCCTCAGCCGTTATCAAAACACTAAAACTTCCGGTCCTTCAAAGTAAAAGTCACCCCATGACTAGAGGTAGCTACGCCGCTACGCAGAGGCTACGCCGTCGATTCGACTCAGAAGTATAAATTACACTATGGTGTGTGAAGTTTGAGGTTTATTGTCATTGCACAATGAAATTGCACAATAAAATCCACTAAAATGGAAATACTAAAAACTAATTCAAACAAACAATAAAACAATTTGTATATATAGTATAGGAAAAATGACAAGAATGATAATGACAATGAAAAATTGTTTTAAAACGTAATTTGGCTGAAATTATTTGCAATACATGTATTTTGTGTAACTTTGATATACATTATGTAATCACTACACAGACTGATCATATATAGTGCAGTGATGAAATGTATTGTGTGTATAAGGTGGTCACAAGTGCACCACCTTAGTTGTTATTCTTATTTCTATTTTCTTTCTTATTTTCTTGCCTTGCTTTGGAAAGTTCAGGCTCAGACCATGTGAAGTAGCCGTCACCTATACTTTCATGCATTTTGTCTATTAATCTAATGAGTGGCAAACCCTGCCAAAATTTCTGTGAATTTACAGTGAGTGATAAAATGTTGTACAAAACGTTGAGATGGTTTGTGTATGTCAAAACTATTGTTGTAAGTTATGATTTTAGAATAATCAAGTCTGATTTTTTGTAACGTCTAGTTGCTGCCTTTCATTAGAACTGGAACAAATCATATGACATCTTCTTCACACATCACTGGTGTTTCTCTAACATGTATGAATAAATAAAATGCATATGATTCTTGTTTTCCCAATTACTATTTTATTTAGTGCTCTCTAAATAACTAGGCTATAATTTATACACTTTCAGTCAAAGACACTTATAATAATAATAAACTTTATATGTATTGCACCTTTATAAACAAACTAAGTGCTTTATATAGGAAAAACTAAATGAAAAAACTGCCATTAAATAGACCTCTAGCATATAAATGTACAGTGAATAAAATAGAATATAATACAGACAATACAATAAAATAAGATATAAAAAAGGACAATAAAGACATTAACAAGTTGAAACTCAGAGGTAGAAAATAACGAATTACAATTACTCACCTTACTGTAATGCAGTAGGGTTTTTTTTGTGTACTTGTACTTTTAAAAGTAGTTTTTTAAATCTTTAATTTTACTTTTACTTAAGTGTGTTTTGTTTAAAGTTGTACATCGCTACATTTTGCAATTACATCCGTTACTAAGTAAAAAAAAAAAAGGGCAAAGTAAAACTCGCGACCACTTGGCTTCAAATAGGCTACAAGAGAACAGCTTTATCATGCAGTGTAAGCTGTAAAAAAAAAAAAAAAATGCTGTATTAAGTTACTGCTAGTGCAAACGTGCGAAGTGCGAACATTTCCTGCTCCTGCTTCTGGCGAAACACAAGTTGATATTTATTTTGGAGTAGTCACAGGAAATGCGGTCTGTAAGCACTAATTCCTCAAAATGCATCTACACAACAAGACAACGGTTTTCTGACAGCGGACCAAATTGAAATATTGCGGTGAGTAATGCAACAGTCAGGAGCAGCAGAAGCAGTGAGCTGTTAGATAAAAGCTGCATGCGACAGGCTGCACACCTCCACCTTCTCAGCCAGGTAATCAACTTTCACTGTCGCTGTTCGCTGACTCATGTTGTGTGCAGCATAAAGTCAGATCATGACTACTCACATAATTATGGAAAATACCAGTTAACTGCCTGACAATAGTTTCTTTAGCTGCCCCAGACTTCTGTGTCCAGTGGTATTAAAAGGCATATGTTATCTCATGCACAATAACAGGCAGCTGCATAAAAGTTTCAAAACCAGTTAATTAATGCCAATCAGACTTACATTTACAATTACAGATTTTAACCATCACTCCTCAGTGAACTGCTTCCTTGCGGCCTGAGAGCATTTTCTAGTTAAGTAGGCCTATGTAGTAGCCTATGTAGATTTATCATTATGGATCTAGGCCTACCATGTTTTTAGGAGTCTGTTCACACTGATATAAGCTAATAAAAACCTTCATTTTTGTAAAGTTGAAAATATTAAAGAGTAATATGGCAATTACACATGTTTTTGAAAGTCTGGCCCCCACAGTGTCTGCTTAGAAAAATCCGTGCCCTTGAAGAAATGTAGTTGAGGACCCCTGATGTAGGTCAGTTAAATAATAGCCCACTTCCATTGGTGGTTAAAAATAAGTTTTCATAGTTTGGTAAATGCTTTGCTCCAAATAGCGAAAAAGACTCTGGTGCATGACAATGTTGGTTGGCATTAGCAACTTGCTGGTAACTAGTTCTTTATTTTACTAATGCTTATGATATCTCATTAAAATTACCACAATGTAAATAGATAGATATGACTTCATATATAGTCCAGTGTGGCCCCACCAGAGTCTAATCTGTTCCACCACAGTTTCTTAATGAAGCAAAAACATTCTCAAACTTCTCATTATAACATAAAATGACATTGTTTTTTGCCAGTGATTTGGCAAAGTATCTGTAACAAACTAAAATTGAAGGCACGATATGGCTTTGTTCCCTCATCAAATTACAAAAGAGTACAATTAAATTAAATTCATATGTATAAATAAGATTTTAAATCAAAATAAATAAGTTATTTTAGGAGGTTAAAAATACTAGATGGTAGTGTTGTAGTACTCGAGACCAAGACCGGTCTTAAGACCACTTTTTGATAGTCTTGGTCTCGTCTCGGACTCGACCGTCTTTGTACTCGGTCTTATCTCGGTCATTTAGGACTCTGGATTTTATTTCAAGACCAGTCAAGACCATAACTTTGGGAATATCAATAAATTGCTTTTGCATTGTCTGATTTCTTAACATCCTAACTTTGATTGGAAGTAAAACTTATTACTTCAAATGCAACCAATAACCCCTAAAACATGTTACCGTCACCCCTCCCTACGATGCTTACATTGATTTCAGCTGTCAGTATTTGTATGTGGGTGTTTTAATGGGAAAGAATCAAAATGGCTGACTTCCTGTTGGGTTTAGAATATATGCAACAAAAAGGGTCACTTCCAGAATGTGGTTCTATGAGATGACCCTTATCAAGCTATTCACTCATCTGCATGTAATGCACAAGTTGAACAAGGAAATTGCCTTGGCCAGCCTCGCACTGAACGACCCCACCATGCCTATATTGCAAAGCTCCTACCCTCACACCTTTGTGGTGTGCTCTTCGGGACAAATAAATATATATCATTCAAGATTGAAGAAAACAACATGTTGCTTTTGTAATTTGAAGAGGATGAGACATTCTGTGCCTGATGCACAGGGAATATTCCTACAACTGAGCCAATTCTCATTTCCCATAAAGCAAAGATCATCATGTTGTCTGGTACTGTGCGAGGTGTCATTAGTTTGTGTCACGATCGTGGTGTGGAGGCAGGTTGGAGAACCCAAACGCAGGACACAGAGCGGAGCAGGTATGGTATAACGAAGGGTTTTAATAAACAAACAAAAGCGAGCACACTTACAGGTGAGTGGCTGAATAACAGAAATCCAAAAATCCAAAAGTACAGGGAGAGGAGACGAGACGAGACAAGACAAGCAAGGCTGGTTACAGGCAGAGAGTACACACACGACAGACTGGGGGGTAACATGAACAATGACCCGACAAAGACAAGACAGAAACACCAGGTATATATACACACACACACACACACACACACACACACACAGGGACTAACGAGCAGGGCGGGAGCAACACAGGTGAAAGACATGAGGCTAATGAGACACAGGCAGGGAGAGAGAGAGCGAGTGTAGGGGAAAACAGAGACAGAAATGCAGAGTGTGACAGTACCCCTCCCTCAAAAGGACGGCCCCTGACGTCCTAAAATGAAACATCACAAACAAAAAAAAACACAAACAGGTCAAGCCGGCCCAGGGTGGGCGGAGGGAGGCCAGGTGGAGGGCCAGAAAAACAAAACCAAAAGTCCCAAAGGGCCAACTACTGGCAGGGCAAGGCAGTTCAGGAGGCCGTCCAAGGCGGCCAGAGGGGAACAAAAGTTCAGGGGGTCGTCCTGGAGGATAACCCAACGGACCAGGTGGGCAACAGAGTTCAGGAGGCCGGAGGGTGACCCGTGAGGCCGGGCAAATCAGGGGGAGAACAGAGTTCGGGAGGCCGTCTGGGAGGACGACCCAACAGGCTGGGCAGAACAGGGGGGCCACAGAATTCGGGAGGTCGCCTGGGAGGACGACCCAACTGGGCGGGAGGACCAGAGGGACCACAGAGTTCAGGTGGCCGTCCCGGAGTACGGCCCTGGAGGCCGGACTGTTCAGGGGGACGACAGGAAGGCCAACAAAGAGGCTGGAAACCCACTGGAGGCCGACGGGAAGACCTCTCCGGAGGTCGGCACCCAAAGCTCTGGTGCTCTGGAGCTGCAGCAGGGCTGAGGTCCACGGACTGAGCAGCTGGGCTGAGGACCACGGGCGAGACAGCTGGGCTGAGGACCACGGGCGAGACAGCTGGGCTGAGGACCACGGGCCGGACTCGAGGAGCTGGAGTCGGTCTGAACACCGACTGAGCAGCTGGGCTGGGGACCATGGACCGGACACGAGGAGCTGGAGTCGGTCTGAACACCGACTGAGCAGCTGGGCTGGGGACCATGGACCGGACACGAGGAGCTGGAGTCGGTCTGACCACCGACTGGACAGCTGAGCTGAGGTCCACGGACTGAGCAGCTGGGCTGAGGACCATGGGCCGGACACGAGGTGCTGGAGTCGGTCTGAACACCGACTGAGCAGCTGGGCTGGGGACCATGGACCGGACACGAGGAGCTGGAGTCGGTCTGACCGCCGACTGGATAGCTGGGCTGGGGACCATGGACCGGACACGAGGAGCTGGAGTCGTTCGGTCCACCAACGGAGCTGGTGCCGGTCGGACCATCGACGAGGGAACAGGAGTCGGCTGGGCCACCGGCGAAGCAGGTGCCGGTCGGACCATCGACGAAGCAGGTGCCGG